TCGATGGAATAAAAATACAATATCAGCTATTAATATGATCTAGATAGGTTTCTCTAAAAATAACAATTTTTTTATTCTTATGCTATAAACCACGCATTGCATTACACAATTTTTTTTTAATATGCATAAATAGGTATAACAATACTTTATAGTAGTTAACTGAAATACTGAAAAAAATGGCGCTCCAAAAAATTACGTGTCATCCAATATTTAACGAATCGTTTTTTAACATTCAATGTTCCATATAAATCTAAATTTACATACATATTTTTGTCTCAGATTTCATTTGCATACTCAGAATTTCACATCACCATTTCAGACCATCGTTCTGGTTTCTGGGTGTATTCATCACGATGGGCTAGCTGACTTGCTTTTTCATTCTCATCTTTTATACTTCAATGGTCCCTCGCCAGCGTATACCATTGGCGCTGGCGGTAACCATTCCATTATCATCCATAACAAAAATAGTCTGCTGATATTCAATAGTCACCAGAGGAAGACTTTGTACAAAAGTCGATTGCTTGGGTACCTCTGTTCCATTCTTGTTTTAACCCTGAAGCAGTTGTGTTTGCATGACTGGTGACATGGTTTAAAGGATGGGATATGGCGTGAATTTACTGGGTACAGAGGAATAACAATCCTTAGGAATGGCAACGCATGGGGGGTATCATGGGCGAAACAGTATACTCTGTTATGTCCATGGTACCGCTCATGTCTATAGGCGACTGTTACCACTTTCCATCAGGTAGACCGTCAGCTTGTTTGCCTTTCTAAGTTGCATAAAAAAATTAGTAGTAAAAATACTATTAAAAACATCGATTAATATTTAAATGTGTCGATTTCATACTAATTTCATTTATAGAGCGTTGCTTAACTATTCATTAAGTGTTATTACTAAGTCTGTATACAGACTATGTCTAATAACAAGCTAAATTTCTCTCGCTTAATGTAAAATATGTGTGTAAATTTAAAATATATTCTAAGGCAAAATCATACATATATAAATATGTCTAACCATACATATACAAACAAACAAAATACCTGTTTTTTTATCTATCAGTAGATAACATCGCAGCAAAGAATAGCGGTTGCGTTTTAATAGCGTTTTTTTCCTTGCAAGGTGTCAATCTATTTATTCCATATGATCTCGTCCTTACAATCTAAACACAATAGTGTTACGTGATCTAATACATCTAATACGGATCAATATTTTGCACAATTGAATTTAAAATATTCTATTATATTGTACAGATGTATGGCTCGGTTTCGTTTTCGTTTGACTTCTGAATTGGAAGTCAAAGATGTTTTCTTTGTATCGGATATTAGGAATTCTTACTAATATTACAAATGTATGTTTAATTGTTACTTCTTAGCGCTTTAACGGCTAAACCAAAAACTATAAAAATATACTATATCGTATTTTGTCGTAGTATATCATTGTCGAAGAATTTAGTGTAATGTTTTTCTGATATATTACATGAATACATATTTACATAAGGAGGAAGCCTATGTTCTGCAGTGTACATAAAATATAGGTATATACATAAATATATCCTTGGATATTTTAAATATACTAAGCGACGAAAATTATAGGTAAATAGTACTGTCGTGGCCACGACATGGTGCAATCCACGTCGAAACGTCGGCAATAAAAATCAGGCATGTAGGTGTTATTTACCTGCAATTTTCGTCGCGTTAAGTCCCGATCATCATTATTTCATCATTTCAGTATAAGTCCCGATAGTTTAATTAAAATATGTGTCAACAGCACGAAAGTTTAAAATTAAATTACGTTCTCGGACTCTGAATCTTTGGTAAGTGGCTTGAAAATAATTGTCTTTGGAAATAAAACTTTTTTTTTATTTATTTATACACAAAACTAATACTATAAAAATAAATTATTTTATTATTTTAGAAGAACATAATAATTTCTAAGTATATTGTAGTTCTATAGTTACTTATCTTTATCTAAAATTTAGGGCAAAGATAGGAAACCATATTTCATGTTCTTAGCAAGCACTAATTAAACCCTAATTGTCTATTCTAATCTATTATTAATCCATGAATTCCTACTGTTAAGCAAAGATCTCCTTTCAAAACTTTAAAAATTAACCATTACAAATAAAAAAAAAACTTAAAAACATAATGACCGATAAATCAATCTTTAGAATACATACTGACATTACCACAAAGGTTATTAAGTAAAAAGTACGGTACCAGGTGCGGAAGGCGTGCGCCTGAGCCTCATTGATCTTTTATTGCCACTTCTAAAGTAAAAAAAAAAACGGGAAGTAATTTGTTCTCCACACAGTAGGTAAAGATGTACACCAAGATTTATTAGCGAGCTATTAGTCGAGTTTTTATTTGTGATTTTCTGTTAATAGTGAATAATGAAAGATGACATCTTGTTGAAATAATTTCGCTTTACGATCTCACGGGTGAAGTGGTCAGTGCTACTTCTTATATAAAATGTATAACACCTTTGTCCTTAAGAGTGGGCACTAGTAGTGAGTACCTAATATATTGTAATATCTGTATATTATGGTTACAATATATATCTATAATGTTTTCTCTGTATACACTCTGCATAGTTTTCGATTTAGATTCTGAACTGATTCGATCAGTTGATTGGATCGATTAAACCAAAAAAACCCTACTGATTTCCGCAGTACTAAATACTAAACTTGGGTAAAATGGATACCGAGCTGATATCTATATATTGGGTTCCTCTGGATGTTGTTGGTAGAAAAAAGGTCATCACTCACTTCAGTATCGCCCATATCGGTCGGATATTTTTTTTCAAATAAGTTAAAAGTCTGTTATCCATTATTATTATTAAGATAACAGATTTTTAACATATTCGTTCTTGGACGAGTATATAGATATTGTAACTTAAATATATAGATATTGCTATATAAATATTAACTCTTACTAAATACATATTATTATTGGATAGTTCAGTATTATTTTATTAGACGCTACAAAATGTCTTATCCAAGCAAGTAGAAATAGAAACAAAATATGATGAATAAAATAAACACTGCGAAATAAAATTACATTTTTTATCACTTCGCCTTAATCATTAAGTGTACATAAATAAATAATGGATACGCCAGCAAAAATGATAAATTCTGAAAAAAGAAATCTAATCTAACACTTTCATGCGGGCATCGAACCCAAGATTGTTTCGGAAGTAAACAAAAAACGTTCGGCGGCGCACGCGCACGCGCCCTCGCCGGGTGGTCGCGCACGTGCTCGCCCCTATAGATCGATACCGATAACTTATCGATACCGCGGGAAGGTAAGACGACTCTGTTACTAAACACTTAGCTACGCTACTTAGTAGCCGCTGAGGGGAGAAAGGGATTGTTAGAAATGGGCTCTAACAGCTCCATTGCTAACAACGTATCCTGTCAGGTCGACCTCGTATACTCTGGTATATATATATACTCACGCGTGAGTATATATATATACTCACGCGGTTCTCCCTGGAAACCATCGTGGTTAATTCTCGTGAAATTCTTCATGATGGACTAACTGACCTGCTTTCATCCCTACTTATCATCTTCCATTGGTGCCTCGTCAGCGTATACCGATCACCCATTAAAAAAAAAGTAGCCGCAGGATACGAATGAGACCATTGATTCTATATGAGATAGAGAGAGTAACATGACATCGCCAAATGCGCACTTCGACTTTTTTTTTATACAACTTAGAATGCCAAACAAGCTGACGGCCCACCTGATGGAAAGTAGTAACCGTCGCCTATAGACATGAGCAGTACCATAGACATAACAGAGTATACTGTTTCGCCCATGATACCCCCCATGCGTTGCCATTCCTGAGGACTCAGATGTTATTCCTCTGTACCCTGTAAATTCACGCCATATCCTACCCTTCAAACCGAAACACAGCCATGCAAACACAACTGCTTCACGGTAGAAACACGAATGGGACAGAGGTACCCAAGCAATCGACTTTTTTATTCGCTGATAATCGAACCCCCCAACAGTACAGAACAAAGGGGTCGCGGAAGGTCGCGAAGCAGTGAAAAATCAACAGTTCTGTAAATACATGAATCAATCAATAATACATAATGAAGTATCTATAACAGACATCGATTACATGTCTGTTTTAGATACTTCATTATGTATTAGGTATTTATTTTATTTTATCGATACTTAAGTGTGAATATAAATACAACTGTACGGATTTCATAATTGTACTATAATAAAATTCATACACATTCGAAACCGGGTAGGGGATCGCAAGATATTTTTACATACTAAGGGGGTCGCAAGATATTTTTACATATTTATTATGTATACCTACTTATTATGGGGTTGCGTCATGAAAAAAATTGAAAACACTGTTATAGGTGAAAATTTTTTTATAATCAGTTGAGTAGTTTTTGAATTTATCCACTACAAAAAAACAATCCAATCTTTCGTGTTTATAGTATCATTGATATAGATGACGGTAGCCTCAATTCAACAGTGACCGCTCAATGGGACAAAGGTCGCATTCGTAATTCTACTATTAAGCATCTGTGCTGGAATTGCTGTATTTCGGTTTGAAAGGTGAGATATGGCAGTCTAATTACAGAGCGCAATCCTCAGAATACCATACATTTTAATACCTGTAGTGCTAATCATGTCTTTAAACGACTGTTATCATTTTATACCAAGTGGTGGTATTCATTTTTAATTAAAAATAATGCTGCTTTTTTATAAAGGTTTTCAGTACGTATATTGCGCCATATATAAAAACAAGCTAATTATTATAATTGAAATTTTATTGTAGCCAGTTATTATAAGATTTCGACATTTCTTGCCTAAATTATGTAAATTGTAAGTTTATTGAAAATACTTTATAATTTTTTTTAAATTATAACAAACTGCCTACTACCAAAATTACTACACCGGAAATAGGGTTTGTATTATGATAGTAAATAAATAATTGTGCTTATTGGAAGCTGATGATATTTTTTTTTGTTGCAGATCTATTGGAGGCCTCGGGCATATTTTACATCGGATAAGTGTAAAAAAATCATATTAATGGTAAGAAAATTTTATTAAAATTAATATATGACGACTACTAGCAACTTTCTATGTTCTAATTGGTGTAAAAATAATTAATCTCTTCATTATTTTTTTAAAAGTGACGAAACTGCAAAATAAATATATGCAATCTGCATAAAAAAATGCATCTAAAAGTATTAATACAATAAAATCAATTAACTCTCATGGTGTGACTATTTATAATTATGATTCTGTCTAGAATATTGATATCCAATGATATTATAAAAGATCTAGCTGTTTTATAGTGTAAAATTTTCAAATATAATGAACTGGTTGCATAAATTTTAAATGTTTTTTTTTATTTGAATTACGCAGACCTGATTTAAAATAATGCACTTAGATAAAGTCATAAGAATTCCGTTCTGCATTTGAATTTGCTAGTTTCCGGTTAGAACATAAAATCGTTAAACCGAACATTAATCAAGAACAACGCAGTTTTGAATATCGAACGCCAAAAGCGGAACTATCGCATATCAATGCATACCTATCGCAAAATCGACATACCTTGTGTGGCCATAACATGCTAAAATTATAACTTTTGATAAACAGTTACATTGTTAAGACAGTATTCGAATAATAAAACAAACTTCAAAATATTAACAAATCCGTGGTCAACTTCTTGTTAGTACCTACTTACCTATAGATTTAGTTATTATTATTTAAACAAACCATTTGCTCTAGAAATATGTAGTAATTTAAGTAATATACTCAAATATCATTGTTATTTGTGTCACAAAATTACATTTAATTGTTATAATATTTTCATATAAAAATGAATTAAAGATTTCCCGTGGATTAAATTCGATCAACATTTAAGTTATCTTCAAATGTTAACTTTGACTTTTACAGAACTAAAATCTAGTAGTACAAATTGGAAAATGTTTGAAATTTGATTATAAATAAAGTATTTAAAAAAATAAGGCGTTATTTGTTTCTCTTATTTCGTGGCCCAACTTTTCGCCTCCGATAAGACATGACGTGTCCGTTATGAGTTTCTGATCGCCTTCAGTCGAACGACGCCGCCCAATACGCCCACTATTGCTATGCATGTTCGATATTCAAACTTTGAATTGACTCTGTTTCAAATCTAATATCAACATTTAAAATGTTTCATTGTAATTTTGATATAGTCCTGTTTTAACCATCACTTACTAAATTAATTTTGAAGCAAATTGCGTTGTCTATGGTTACATATAAGTTATTTGTCGCGAACTGTATTTGATTTAATTTATAAACATACCTTTAGTTTGCATCATTATAAACAGGGTACATTAATGTAAACAATGAAAATATATAATTAATTATAATATTATTATTAATATATTAATAATTTATAAGTATTGAAGATTATATTAATTTAACTTAATTTTCACACAGAACTTTTAATATATAACTGTAATATAAGTACAATATATCAAATTAACGCAACTCTATCTTGTATTCTAAAATTATAATTCCAAAGGTACAACTCGACCAAGCATTGTGCTATAAGACTAATCAATATAAGTAGGCACAGCTCATTCAGACGCTATAATTCCGTTAATAAAAATACAGAGAGGACGGCTCAAAGGGGGCACGGTGGGAGTCGGAAGCGCAATGGGCTTCGGAAAATTCACCCGGTGAATGGAAAACGCGGCGATAGACAAACAGCCAGGCTGACCCCGCGCCACTACCCCCATCTCCCCACCTAACGTACATTTTGAAATAATGCCCCCAATGGTTGCGTTTATGTCCAGAACCTAGGCTTCCATTTTCGAAATTTAGTAAATCAGCGTGTTCTATTTTTAAGTGTTCAAATTAAAAAAAAAAATGTTTACCACAAACACGATATTGTGATTTCGAAATGTATATTTATTTTTAAAAATGGAATCGAATTTTCTATCAGCGGTCAAGTGTGTCGATGGAATAAACCTCTTGCCAACATCGCAATGTCAGTTGCAAACGTATCTTACTGAAGTTAGCGCGCGAACGCACAGAGAGGTTATAAATCTCGTCGACACGAAATGGCTGACCAGCTCCATCCCCCTTTCACAGATCTATGTTGCCATAGCGGAGCTGCTGCAAAAGTGTGCGCCATAAATTTTATAGGAGCACCAGTGTGCGGTAAAACTGAACTAGAGTTTGTGTGTGTGCGAAAATTCGTGTTCATCCCGTAAGAGGAGTGGACACTGCCAGTTTTGCTTTGTATTCATGTCGTGTACCTACCACAGATAAGAGTATAATAGATTAATCCAAAACAAATTTATAGAAACAATGCATTTCATTTGGCGTAAGGTTGTTTAACTGCTAATTTAATTACATATTTCGTTTCCGAAGGCGATCCGATTGCGTGGTATAGTTATCTAACTATTAACTGTTTATTAACCTTTAAATGACGCTTGTGATCATAATAATTAAGAAAAAAAAAACTTAATTTATTTATTCATTGCATCTTTAACTTTCAAATTTGCTAATTCAACAACAAAATGGTCACCCAAATTCCTGCCCAGCGCATATTTTTCGCGGTCCTTTTTCACTTTTTTTCTTAGTGACAATGTAAGGCCTTTCATGTAGCTTTCCATTCGGCCGGTTCAAAGCGCTGAAAGAAGTGTGAAGCGGGCCGTGAGCATCGGCAGTCAGGTGTGGTTAACTCGGAGGACTATGGACTTCCCTCGGGCTGAAGCCACTTAGTCTGCTAACTGTCACTAAAAATACGTATTCGTTTATTTTTAAAAAGCCTACCGTTCCGGACGCGCGACCACACGTACTCTCCATAGAGCCTTTTATGTAGTTCCACTACTTCTGTTTTCTATGATTTTGTTGTGGAAACTCACAGTTCACACACTTAGATCTATGACAGAAAATAAAAAAAAAGCCGTAGAAAAAAGGCATTTGATAATTATACTGAAAGACAGCAATATCAGAGCGAAATAAAAAAGCTGCTAATGTAAAAAATGCAAACCTATCTGTACATATGTGGAAAACTAATTGAATATCTGGAACTACACCAACACATAGACACAGCGTATTAAGAACGTTATCGGCTACGCACTTATACATATTTACTTATAAACGTAGCTAAAGTGGAGAGTACTGCACAAAAACGCATCTTTCCCCCCACAGCCACCCCAACGGCCGGCGGGCGAACGAATACATTCGACTAGCCCATTTGCAATATCGCATTGTGTGTGTGACTGTACAGATAGAATTCGCGGAGTGTGGGTGCAATTCCACACAAACGAGAGTTTGCTTAGCCCGTGCGTAGTTTCACCATGTACTTACCTACGTGTATGTACTCGGTATTGGTTTTCTGTAGTACCGTTGGGCTTTAACAAATTTCAAATTCACAAAATCGTGATTGGTTGGTATTTTGTTTGAATAAGCGGACACACTACTGACGTGGCTTAAAATTTGCTATCCAGTAATTCGTTTAGGTGTAAAATGATCAGTTTTATCCAATTTGTTTATGTTTTTGGCGTGATTGTGATGTATTTGTCGCGCGAATGCAATTTCGTTTATTTTGCGTTCTTATATACAATATATTCATCATTCATATTAGAATTTAATCAGCGAGACAAGTTGTATACAAAAATTCATAGCGCATAATAAATTTCAATTGTCAACCAAGCAGAACGCCTCAAAGTAAAATTATTAAAAAAAATTCATCGATCACGTGTCATTTCGAGGAGTATTATCGCTACAAATGAAGCAATTAAGTGTGCACGCGCCACTACCCATAGCCAACCGGATGACAGACGCTCTAATAAACATCTAAGATTCCAAATATCAATTTCTGGGGACCCATTCAACCGCATCCACGTCACTATCGTAAAATTTGAATTCGGAACCAGGAAGTGCGCAACAAAAACTCGACCAATCAACCCATGAGTTCGATATTCGAAATCCAAACTTGTCTATTCACGGTGTTGTCAGCCAGCATGACGTTGATAATTCGAAACTTTGAAATGGAACAATGTACGGCTTCCTTCAAGACGTTGTTGTTTAATTGAAAAGGGCATTAAATTGAAACTGATCTATAAAAAATAATTCCAACTCTTATTTCTTTGACAATAAGATTTATTTGAAGTATCAGTTTTATTTGAAAACAAAGATAGTAATGCTTAGTCATTTCACACGTGGTAAAACGTACTGAACATATGCTGTTAAGAAGTCAGCACTAATTTTAATTTACATCCACATTATGTAAACGAAAAGTTAACAAGTTTCTAATATAAGAGATGTTATATAAAAATATTTTTTAAATCTTTTAAACCGAACTAAATACATATATGATGTAACTATGCAGATATAATTTAAAAAAGTATAATCAAGTAAAGACAATGCCACACCAACGTCCAAGAGCGCGGCAGATGTGCGACCGACGACCGGTACGCCACCACCGCGACAGCTTGACAGACCGTTGTAATAATTACGTCTAAAACTGTAGCTGATACGGCACCGATGTAAACTTATGTAGAATTAAGAAACAATAAACAAAGACAATTTATTCGTGAAAACGTGAAACGTCTCATAAACCTATTTTGGCTATTGAAGTGTTTTATCTTTTTCTTGCGCACTAAATTCCTAATTTAAAAGTGATAACATTGTAATAGTTAAAATAAGTTTATAGGAGATATTAATTCTTGATAAATAACGGAATTAGTCCTTATTCAACATCGATTAAATGACTTTTAAAAATGATGACAAAAACATTTTAAAACTAAAACATTGATTAAAAAATATTGACTGGTGTAATCAATAATTTTATGTATTATGTTATTAGTATAATGTTGATGAATTGATAATGATGAAAATAGATGATTAAATTACCATTTATGTATAGAAATAATATAATAAAATAATGTACCAAAAAATAATATTAAGTGCCTAACATTTATATGCCTATGTATGATGACTATTTTACATGTAATATCTTGTGTCTCATATTTGGATTGAATAATATATAAATAAACAAAAGAATGAAACTAAGTATACGACACGATGTAGTTCCATTAAGAAGTTACAACATAAAAAATGAATTATAATTTTGGTTATAGCCTGGCTATTCTGGAACTCTATTGATCAATCTAAATCAATCAATACTGTCTTAATATTTTATATTATGTGAGACATTCCTGTCTATTATAATCAATTATTTTTTTCTTGATTTGCCTTAGGATACTTCTATAAGTTCAAAAGTCTACTTTAAAGCGTCTATTAGGGGATGAACGTATACAATATTCATTGCTGTACAAGGTGGACATATCGCATTGTATGGCGGTGTAGATACGCCCTAACGATTTACAAGCATGCAATGATCATAATCGTTTAACCGATTCTTTTTAATAAAAACAAAAAAAAAACATTAAATTATTAATATAATAAAATTATTTTTGATATTTCTTTAATTTTAAATGAATAGTCATCTGAATCAGGATCTTTTCTATACCTACTTTAAGATTTTTTATTATTGTTAGGAATGCAAATGATCAGATAGATACCTGATAGAAAGCGGCTAACGTCGCTCATGAAGGTCTTTTAATTAGGTTATCAATAAAGATGGTTTATGCTCATAAATATCCAGAAGAAGAAATCGGTAAAGATAACGGATAACATACACATAAAAATACATATAGAAAAGAATTAAGGTTCTCTATTTTTCTACATTGGTCAATAGAAACAAAAATAATAACTGTCACTCAAAAATATTTTGAACGGAATAAAGTTTTGACTGTGACATGAAATATAATTTAAAAACAAACACTTATCACATATACAGTTTCTATAACATATGCTCATAATGGTCCCTCTGACCACGCTACAAAGACACGAACGCAAACATTCCAGGAACTACCCCTCAAAACCATAATCGCCCCAATATCCCATGGGAACGTTCTATTTAAACAATGTAACATTAAAACAATGGCTGCTGTCCCATGGCTTGTTTGCCAAGATACCGTGTGACCGGAGATAAAACAATGGTCCTTAGCCGCAGCACAAAAGAAAGAGTTTAAGGAATCCTTGGCTAGTGAAAGGGTTAAGTGCATAAAAAGGAATGTAACTTATATTGTTAATTAAAGATATTGTTCGTGCAATATATTGATATAAGAATAATATTTCGTAATTAATAAATCCGTGATAAAAATCTCTCATAATAATAAGTTTGTGATTTAGGTAACATATACTTGTAATTTTATAAACAAAACCGCATATGTATAGATTTTGCTAATATATCACGTATTTTTTAAATTTATAGATAGATAGATATAATAAATCATTTGATTCATATTTTTATTATCTTGTCTTTTTATCGTATGTTAAAAAAAATTATACAAATTTTTAATACTTGCATATATTTTTAACATAATTTTCTACTTAATTTAAATTCAACATCTTACACATAAACTGAGAATATTCGTTGTATAAGAAAAATTATCTTTAACTACTTTTTATTAGAAACTTCTTATTTCTTCTGTATTTATTGAAATGTTAATATATTTTTTATTACAAGTCTTACGTAAATACCTACAATAATTCAAAAACTATCTCACATTTAAGCACCGGACACAAAAATCACTTTCCCTCTCAAAGCCCTCTCATTACCGCACTCAACCCTGCGACTTCCCAACTACGCTTCCTAACCATAGTTCTCACAATCAAAAAAAGATTTGTCACTTAGCTGTTAAGGGGCGGAAGGAGCTGTTCCCGAAGCGGTCGCGCGGCAAACGATTATGGGCCTTAAGTGTATCGGTTACAACCGCTGAATGACCCTTGAGGTTGATGCGTTCGGATATCTGGCCAAAACAAACTATATTTAAATTCAAAAGATTTCTTTTTATTAAAAGAAATGATAAATATTAAACGGCTACGGAAAATCGTGAACATCTTGAGTAGAAAGTATCGAGAAATTATAAACAAGCCATTGAAGATATCTTACGTATTAAATGCAAATAATGTAGATTAGCTTAAATGCATATCTGAACACCGTTCAGTTCCCTAATTATTACTAAAAGCTAATTAAATTAAAAAAATATATAACTATAGAAGTTCATAGGTATTGTATTAACCAATTGAATAATATTAAATTAAATAATAAAAAAGTTATACAATCATATTCGTTTTTACTTATAAATTACATTCTCTGTCTACGTATCCGAACTAGTTATGCGCAGACGCACGGCTTACAGGAAGGAAGTGTAAGGCGACCGCGTGAGAAGTGCGCGCACGCCGTGAGAACCGCACAGGTGCCACTGTATATTCGTACTCGACTTAGAACGTACCTACTTATATGTAATAACAGGTAATTTATCACAAAAGAAATTAACGTTGAATAATATCTTGATAAGGAAAGCTCTTTATCAAGATATTGATAAGAGCTCAGATAGATATCGGAGGATACCTACTTAGATTTATTCAAATAAAATTCTGTTTATTATTATTACTATTATTAAGATTATTTGTAAAATAACCATAAGAATATTGATTAAAATAATTTTATAAACATTTGAAATATGCTTCGGTAGGTATAAATATCACACTCTTTCTATATCTTCTATTGAAAATGTTACAGATTTTAGGGAAAGAAAAAAATGGAATTTAAACAAGACACCTGTCAGTGCAACTAGAATATAGGAACTAAAATAATTATAACTAAGCATAAAGAAATTTCAATCCAAATTCTTTTTAATAAAAAAAAAAAAAAAACATCAAAGGTAAATAAAAAGAAATAAATATCTGTTACTTTAACTCACTTATGGCACAAATGGTTATACATATTTTATATTAAAAGTCATTGTACGTTGTAAGCGTACAAATTATAATATGAAAATCTCTCGAACATAACATGTTCTGGTTTACGAGTGGTTTCCGAGATGAGTCACTAACTGGTACACGAGGGGCTCAATAAAAAGAGATCACCGCCAATCGTTCCATACTGAAGATCAGGGTGCGACGACCTTGCTGCGTGGAACACGGCAGGAGAGGCAGCGGAGCGGATATAGGACGCAAATTCTTTCACTTGAACACCGTATAAATAAAAATAAATCCTACAACTTGTTTACTATTTCTGGTTGCAAAGAAAAACTTTTACTTTGATATTATAATTTATAAGTAAATAAATATAGTGTTAAGTCGCTTTATAAACCGTTTATTTTTAAAATATATATTTTTAAAATACCTGGATGAAAAATAAACCAATACATTCTCCTACATTATCATCTCCGCAACAATCCATTATCGTCTCATTGCTGAGCTTGAAAACTTCCCCACTTATTACGTCCTACCATGTAATAATATAAAAATTAAACACAAATATAACTCACTAATATAAACAATATAATAATTTATTTTAAATAATACATAGTTATTTGTAAAACTGCTTTCAATATCTATTATAATTATATAAATTTCGTATATAATTATATAAATAATAAAACATAAATATGGCAAAATTATAAACAGCAACAAATAAAGTATAGAAACAAAATATTTTACATAACCTGTATGTACAGTCGTAATCTTGACTTTCCGTGACCTCAGCATCATCTCTGTCAGATATGGCTACCTCTTGTCACTTGTCCAGTTTAGTTTTGAAAGTGCGAGCTCCCGACCGGAAGGTGGCGGGGCACAATCTCGGCGTCCGGTCCGGACGACTTCCGTCAAACGCGCCCGCCCGTGACCTGCGCACGCGACGGTGCCATTAATTAGGTTACGGTATTGGAATCCCATTGCGACATCTACAGGTTAATATATAATATATTTTAACTCTTTCCAAATAAACTTCTCAAATTATTATAAATTATTAATGATTTTATAAACAATTAAACAATTTTATATTTAAATTATAATAAAAATAATTTTATAATTTATCTGAACATTACAATGGAAATCTTACCTATTTAAATATATACAAAACTTTACCATCACCTGGAGCGAATCACTTTTTAAAAAAAAAATATTAAAAATAAATTCAAAATCAATTTTATTTAACAATTTTCTAACCCTAAAACAGCTAATGCCCTCACGAGTCAATCTACAAATGAACTGAAAACTCCCAAGGTGTCTTTTATAAACTGCAGCGAGATTTACCGCTATAGACATCTCCCGCTCCCACTGAGATCTTATTCCGTAGTACAGCGGGAGTTTTCGACCCAAAATAAAGGTGTTGAAACTAAAAATGATCTACCTTATAGAGTTATGTCGAATCGACACATAAGTATTATGTACTATAATTATATATCCCTATAAGTAAATATAAAAGAAATGAAAGTTTTTGTCTTCCTTAGTGATGTCGTTGTAGAAGAGCTCAAATTCCAATGGTTCGTGAGTTCGATTCCAGCAAACATTTGTATTCATGAATTTGTGTATAATTACAAAAAAATATCACTTAACAACCGAGTTACGTTTTATGTTGCGTTTTATATTGTAGAAAGAATTTAGATATTTTAAAGTCAACAACATTATTTTCAAAATTTCCTTTAATTATTGCTAATATAACATTTCAATAATATTTTTCTTTACTATATATTTAAGTAAATATGTACATATTCTTAACTATTTAACTTAAATGTATTTATGTTCAAAAACTTCAAATTACTCAGCGGGCTATGGATACGGTTTTTTTTTCTGATGGGTGATAATGGAATAGTAACCCCGCCTGCGCTAACGGGATACGCTGGCGAAGCACCAGTGAAGGGTGATAGATGAGAATGAAAACAAGCCAGTTAGCCCATCATGATGAATTCATCAGGAATTAATCATGATAGTTTCCAGGGAGAACCGCGAGGAGGTCGACCTGGTTGGGTATATTGCCAGCAATGGGATTCTCAGTCTCCATTACTAACAATCCCTTTCCCCCCACTATGGATAGGGTTATACTCGGAATTTCTTTGCGTGATTGAACCCGAAACGAGGATATCTGCAAAAGAATCAAAATAACCGACATAGCCCGAATGATAAACAAGCTGAAGTGGCAATGGGCTAGTCACATAGCTCGAAGAAGCGACAACCGATGAGGAAGAAAGGTTCTTGAGTGGCGATCCCATACGGGCAAACGCGATGTAGGACGACAACCCACTAGATGAAGCGGCTACCTTAAATGCATTGTAGCGAGTCAGTGGATGCGGGTAGCTCAGGACCCGTTCCTTATGACAGTCTATGGGAGAGCCTTATGTTCAGGAATGGGCAGATAATGGCTAAGAAAATGACGATGATGAATTGATGTTAAAATTTAATAATTAAAAAAATATGTAAACAAATTGTTGGATAATTGAATTATTTAAAATTTCCGCCATCTTTATTGTTGTTTATTTCCTTCAAAATAACACCTTAATTATTATTTCCGTGTACTGTATACTTAAAAATACACGTACAGGTTCGAAAGAGCTCACCTTATGCTCGTAATTATAATTGGCGAGTAGGTGCGCGCATTAATTATTCATTAACAGTTCACCCCCCATTTGACGCGACTTGAGAACTGCTAGTTAAACTGACGAGGGCCCCACTATTTTCGTATTAGGAGCTTATTTTAATTAAAAAATTTTTTTCTTGTAAATTAATATGTCACTTAATTAATTAATCACTGAATAAAATAAAATAAAATAATCATTTACTTAATAAATAAAATCTTTTCTTATTTTCTTAAATGAAATACATAAATTTAATTAAATAATCTTGAAAACATTTTATAGTTTTACAAATATGAGTAGGTATAGTATAGGGATTCATTTCCATTGTATATTTTTTTTCTAAACCAATGTGTCGCGTAATTAAATAAAAGTATTTCGTGTAAATTAATTAGTATTAAATGAAGTTGAATTTTCTTAAATTCATTTTACAAATAATAAATAATTAAGAAAATAAATTTTAACATTTACGTAATGTATTAATGAATATAGGAATTTATTTTAATTTATTTAATAACATAATCATAGTAGTCTTAAAAATTACTGAATTATATAAAGGATAGGAAAAAAAGCAGCCTATTTGAGCAATTAAACAGAATGTTTTATACAAATATAAATACGGGACTATTTGCCTCAGACTGTATTTAAAAAGTCGATGTTGTTCTTGAGGCAGTGGAGGGTTGCTTCGGGTGGTCAAGTGCCCCCACCCCCGTCCCTGTGCGTAACCAGATGCCGCGGAAAATGTTAATGTTAAGTTACGGGGAAAAATAAAGAAGACGTTATACAACGCGACTCGGCAAATAGAAGGGTGCTTTTTAAGTTGGCACGATAATGTAATTGTTGGTATTGTATAATTATTTTTTATTTTTTGGAAAACATCTTTAATCCTTTATAACGATGTAGTTAAGGAAACAAATTATTTCTATTGTTTTTAAAGTTCATAGATACTTAATGACGCATCTCTCTCGGCCTAACCCAAAATGACCAGGGTAGAAGGAATTGTTAGTAATGGGGATTAGCATTGCTAGCAATAAACTCTATCAGGTCGACCTTCTCGCGGGTCTCCCTAGAAGACATCGTAATTGTTCTTTTTGTTGAATATCTCACGATAGACTAACAGACCTGCATCATCCTTACGACAGCGCAAGCGGGGCTACCATTCCATTATCATCCATAAAAAAACCCAAAAGGACCTGGTGAAAAGAACATTCTAATAAGACTATTTGTGGGAACTGTTAGTGAACGATAGATCGATGAACAGACAAATATACAAATATAAATATAAAACAGTTCTAAAGACTGGCTGGAGACAGAAAAACATGTCGTCAAAAGGGAACCAAGAAAGCGGCTCAGGTGGCAGACAAAAGGAGTGTCGTCTAGGTGCGTGAAAAGGGCAGACAATGTCATGTATCAAGTTCACAGCGAGTGCGGGTTAACCGAGCGTCCTTTATGTACACTCCGCTGCGTATTCTTGTATATCATATTATATTTATACTAGCTCGTACCGGCTGCTTCGTCCACGTACCAGAGGGAGACTTTGTACAAAAGTCGATTGCTTGGGTAGCTCTGTCCCATTCGTGTTTCTGCCGTGAAGCAGTAGCCTTCCTTCTCCATCTCATATTATATATCAAACTTTACAGTGATTAGTTAAGCCGTTAATTCGCTATAAGGTAACAAACAAACAAACTAACTTTCACGTTTATAATATTAGTAAGGATGATGTTGATGATGTGTAAGTGATAGGTACTTAATTAGATTAGCAATTTTATATTTTTATTTTTAACGTCACATAAAATCTGTGCTTTTTTATTTTGTTGTTGTTGTATCAGCCGTTAATTGTCCACTGCTGAACATAGCCTCCTCCTTAAGGGGGCTTTTGCCAGTAGTTGCTACGCTTGACAGGCGGGTTGGCAACCACTGTTTGGTTTCTGGTGATATTTTAAGAAGAACACTGCTGCTGATGCCTTCACCGTAATCTTTCTTAGTCGCCTCTTACGACACCCACGGGAAAGGAAGGGATGGCCTATTCTATGCAGGGACCTACAAGGCTATTTTTAAATGTTACTTACAATTAATTACACTACAATTGTACTAACGGTTGCCTGGAAGAGATTGCTTTTAGAGATAAGGTCGCCTGTTGTTTTCTCATTGTGATTATTTCTTGTAATTGTTTATAATAAGTTTACTATTGTAATCTTTTGGAGGAAACAATAAAGAGTATCTATCTAACATTTCTTAGACATAAAATAATATATTCCATTGACTGTACTTGAAAATGATTCCTTGCCACTAAGATTTAGAAAACAACACAAAGCGTCGGCTACACAATGCGAATGTAACATAATATTGCAGTCCAAGTGTGGGAATTAATTAGAGCATTGCATTTCTCAGAGTAATTGAGAGACAAAGACGTTTTGTTTTGAAAAACGACTTCCAAAAGAAAAAAGTTCTTAATATTTTTTTATTTTTATTTTTTTACACAAATACATCACGAATTCTGATTTTGATTTTTTTTTCAATCAATTGGTGAAAACCTATTACTAATAACTATATCAACCGTGAAGTAGTTGTGTTTGCATGGCTGTGTTTCGGTTTGAAGGGTGGGATATGGCGTGAATTTACTGGGTACAGAGGAATAACACCTGAGTCCTCAGGTATGGCAACGCATGGGAGCTATCATAGGCGAAACAGTATACTCTGTTATTTCCATGGTACTGCTCATGTCTATAGGCCACGGTTACCACTTTCTATTAGGTGGGTCGTAAGCTTGTTATATATATATATATATATATATATATATATATTACACGTATGAAGTACAAAAGTCTTATCGCTAAAGCAATTTCTTCCAGACAACCTTTCGGAGAGTATTAGTATCGATTATTTTATAAGTATAGATATATATGTAGTTTGCATTCATTACAGCTTCAATTTTCCTTCCATTAAAGTCTAGGCTGTAAACTTGGGGGGGAACATCTTACCCCTTTTATGGGGCACTCGAGACCCTTATCTGTCGTAAGTTTGTACAGCATAGTGGATCGTGGATCCCCTACGGTGCGACATCCCTTTGGTGCGACGTATCTTGAGTTGTCATGTTACGGTACAAGTGAATGATCTCATTGGGCATTAAGTGAAAAATTTTTATGTGTGGTCATAACAATAGAGCAGACAAAATATTCGAAAAGGGGAAAATTCTTTCTCTATCGACTAGGGTTTTATGAACATAGGAGATGCTATTTTTTGTGGAACGAAATCTATACTAATAATAAATCTGTAGAGAGATCAATTCTGTACATGAAATATATTTCCAAAATAACTATCAGGGAGTGATTAGTGATAGATACTGATGCCAAAAATGCAATCAGTAAAATTTTTGTCTGTCTGTCTGTATGTTCGTTATAAAAACAAAAACTACTCGACGGATTTTAACGAATCTTGGTACAATTATTCTTCGTACTCCTGGGTAGGTTATAGTATACTTTTCATCACGCTACGATCAATAAGAGCAGAGCAGTGAAGGGAAATGTTGGGAAAACGGGAAAAGTTACTCCATTTTTAAGCTTCCGTCGCGTGTGCAGCCTTAATGGCAACTTTTTTAAATGTAAAAATGTCCACCCATGCGACGCCGA